CACTGTCTGCATTTCGAAGCGGTTTGAATTTGGAATACTTGAACGATATGACTAATATACACACAAAAGACCATTGCACCGCTGTACTGTAAAAGTCCTTGATTTGAGCAACTCTTTAGCGAAAAAAATGAACTTCGTGATGATACAAACGCAAAATTTTAAAGTTCAAACTTTTGAAAAAGCATGCAACCTCGGCGAGGGATGATTACGCAAAGTTGAAAATAATGTCTAGATTGCCTGTTAGAAAGCAAGGACTAGCGTGAGCTGGCTTGATTCATTCGCTGTTATTCATTCACCTTCTTTTCCTTGAAAACTGGAAAAAGTCCCAAGATTAGCCGAGCAAAATCAAAGTGACAGTCTCTTTCTCAGCAAAAGCTAAAAAAAAATGTTTTTCAATGTCACACTGGCTCCGACAGTTACTGTTTCCCACTCACTGGTACTAATAAAATTTTTACTGCTGCAAATTATTCAAAGACTTCCCTCCAAAATTTTTTGATTCTGCTGTACACTCCTCATCTTTCCGGTTGCTCAATTTTTGAACATTCAGGTGATTCTAGTAGAGATGGCTGAGTATTAATCATGACATACTCTAGAACACACTGGAAAAAAGCTGTGAGACATGTACAACATCGAAAATCACTTCTTTCTCGTGATGCTGTAGCGACTGCAGAATAATCTTCGAAAATCGAAAATTGAAGTAGAAAGATGTGAGAGCGCAGTAGTGGGAACCACATCAGGCTATTTTTTCATGAATTCTGTAATGTCTTCCTTATTAGAACATGACTGGCACAAAACTGTGGAGAAGAGACGCCTAAAAACGCTGGTTTCTCCCAAAATTAGAGCCCTGATCATTTTGGGACAAGATAGAACTTTAGTGACTTGTGGCATTCCAAAGCTTTTGAAATAAATAGAATTTGGGTGCTGAAGCCAGACAGGAATCGAACCAGAATTTTGTTTTCGAGTCAGAAGCTTTCCCAAATTTAGAAGAAGGTGCTAAGCTACTTCGCTCACGATAAAAAATAACCCAAACTTTGCATGGAGTCAAAAGAATAACAATGAGTATCAGTTCAAGTATGCTAAGGTTAGAACTGGCTTTTTTAACGGTGATTTGAGTATGCAAAGGCTGCTTGAAGCTCCCTGGAAAGCTTTTTGAAAAGTCCCTTGCATCTCAAACAGAATGAAGCGAAGAGAGCATGTTTACAAGTTTTGTATCGCAAATTGGATTCTACAGAAAACTCTCGACAAAAAGGTAACCAACACCGAAACTCAATCACGAAAAGAATCTTCCAGTAAAGCCGAAAAAGCGCAAATGGTAGGAAGAAAAAGACGAGTCGCCAGCCTGGTTCTGGTTGGGGGGTGTGAAAGAGATGGTCAGTCGGATAGACACACTGGCAGAGGCACTGCGCGCGAAATTTATGGAGAGGAGGACGCCGAGACATCGTAAAAGTTCGCTTATCGGCCCCCCGTACACTGTTTGGCACTCGTAAATGAGTTGGGGAGCGATGGATTCACGGAGGTGATGGTCCCGTCGGGGGGTCAATCACAAAATTTCTGACACTTAACCCCGTTGAACCATGCTTATGGCATATGAACAAGACCATATGGGGCCAGTTTACAAGTAATCTTTGCAGCTTCATTGTATCCATCCAGCAATGTAAGCGCGTGCGATACGGTAGCCGCCGGCGTAGCGGTTGCGTAGCGGTCGCAGGTGTCGTCAGCGCGAACAAATACACGACAGTTGGAGGGTCGACGAGACGGATCAAAGCCGTGCCGCTTCGGCAATATTTCAAACATTTTGACAGCTTGCACCAGTTGTTTCTCCAACACACTCACTCGACATGCTGAGGTTTCAAGAATGTCTGCTCGAACGTGTACGTGTACGATTTTTTTCGTGGAAAAAAAGTATGGAGAAATAACCAGGAAAAAAGTTTTCAGTGTTTTCAGCAAAAGAATAGGAATTTAATGATGCTCATATCTCAATGAAG